ATTGGCGTTTGGGAAAATACCCTGCGTCACCAAGTGCGCAAGTCCTGCTTGGTAAATATTTGATACTCCTCCTCCTCCTCCTCCTCCTCCTCCTCCTCCTTCTCTTCCTTCATTTTTTGCACGTCTTTTGCGAGCCTCGAATTTAAAAGCTAAGGAAGTTATTGGCACGATTGTGCTTCTAGGGCCCAGTTTGTTTAGAATTTAGAGCTTATGCTAAAAAACTTTGGTTACGAATGAATTTTTTGTTTATTCACTTTGCCCAATGCTTATCTGAACAGATCTTGCTAATAGTACGGTTCAGAGTCCACTTTTGGCCAACCATCCCTTTCACCCTTAAATCTATCCCTTCATCGCGACTATTAACGCTCTTCCGACATTAGTTTGGCGAGATTGTTGTAACACAGGACCGTTTTTATAACCAGGTATTATAAAAACGCTTTACCCTTCACTATCTGTTCTCGTGATCACCTTTTTGGAACAGGAGTTCTTTTGACTTCTCGACTGAAGACAACCAGGAAGCCCTGAAGCATAGTTGCCGAAATCTATTACTAAAGCAAAGCGACTTTTGAAGACCTCTTGAAGTAAGGAAGAGGTTGAAGTCGCGTTACCACCTTATTTACAGCATTACTTCTCTATCAATCCACCTAAGGAAGGGGGTTCGTGGGCATAAAAACTATTGGTACGTGATTGTTCAGAACGTCTTCTCACGCCTTTAGCTTTGTTTTGCAGGCCTACTCTACGGTGGGGACGCCAGATTACATCGCACCAGAGGTCTTCCACCATCAGAAGGGTTACGAATGCTCTTGCGACTGGTGGTCCCTGGGTGTCATCATGTACGAGATGCTTATTGGTGAGTCCACTCTTCTAGGTCACAACACGCATTCGGTTCTGAATAACTTTCCTTTTTTCTCTCTCCACCCTCCGTTTTGCGCCTTTATGTGTTTATGTCTGCCCAAATTTACGCAAAATGTCAAACCTATGTCGTGTCATCGTTTTCTCTCCTTCGTTCCCTAAAATTAGGCCCCAAGTGGGTGGAATGTTATTCTACTATGTGAGGCTTAGTCATATAGAGTCTAGCATCAAGGTGAGGTGTTTGCCTTTGATTGTACATTGTTTTTTATGGTTTTTTTGAGCTAACAACAGTTTGAAAGTGAAGGATCATGTGTTTCTATTTCCGGTTTCATCCCTGCCTACGCAGTCCTCTTCAACGACAAGTGAAAGAACAAATTCACCCAAACATTTCCCTCTGTTAAGTTGGATTATGTTACAGAGCTTTACGGGCTGCAAAAAGTAGTACTACTTAGTGGATTGGAGGGAGATTTCCAGAGCAGCATACTGTTTTTTGAGTCAGTCAGGCTCTCTGAGGTCATTTTACTCCAATGTTGCAAATCGTCCTTTTCTGATTTTTTTGCCAGTCCTGCGTCGCTTGGAATTAGGAGATGAATTTATCCTGTGCTAACTCCAGCAACATTAAGGTGGATTTTTGCCTTATTGAGCACGATGGAGAGTTTGTGAGAACTAACCTTTAGTGCATTATTAATTAAAGAATACGGGGGTTGCTAGCGGTCGTTTTGATTAAAGCAGAGAATGCCTTGAACCTGGGATGCTACAAATATTATTCTTTCAGTCCAACGCCGCAGTACATCGTAATAGGCGTCTTTGTATTGTAAATTGAATGCGCTGGTGTCTGTTGAATTAGATAAGCAGGAGTACCAAATGCCTCGTATCTTTTTCAACGATGACTGTTGCTCAGAGTCGGGAGGCGCCGTAGGAGATGGAAGCTATGGGGTGTTAGTCACGAATGCGTGCTGTTTATGAATGGGCGTGTGTCTGTGGCTACTAAACCTTGAATTCTCACTTCTAACTGGCAATGTCACGCCATTGATTTTGGATCACTAAAGCTCAGCATTTGCGCTGGTTTTTTGTAAGCCTGTTCTTTAAGCGAAGTTGTAGAACTAATTGGGTATTCGTCTCTTTTTGATTCGATTAACTGAAACGGCACCATACTGTGAAGCGCAGATTGTCTTCAGTGATCTTGACGTTGCAAGCGGGTATGAACGGTTATCATAGCTGGTTTGTCGTTTTATTTTGTGCTTTTTGCAGTTTTAACCAACATTCAACAGAGATCTGAACAATCGTTCTCCTTTTTGCTGATTACGCCTTTTTCGGTTTGTCAAGAAATGCTTTTGCAAGAGGATCACCCATCCATTTTGAATGCCATTTCTTGTTGCATTTTTTTGCGTCAGATGGCATTTCTGAGTAATCGGTCTCTGGAAATGCAGGGCGTCTTTAATTATTAATTCTCCAAGAATCTCATCGTGAATTCATGAAAGATGGATAACTTAAAAAAAGAAAACAGATACCGCTTATGCATTTGTGGATATTCTTGCTTGCAGTTTACGAGCGTCTGTGACTTCATTCTTACGTATTGATTCCACCAAATGAAATCGTTCGTTCGTCTTCTTTTGCGTTGGTGTACATCTAAATCTTCCATAATCTCAACATTGGCTAGATCTTATCCCTTTTTGCTACTGTCAAACAAAGCACTGTCCTCGATTTTAAGACTAAAATAGTGTTTCTGTTCTCTGCTTCGAGGTAGTTTATTCTCATTGCCGGTTAGGATTGCTTCAAACCTTGACCGCACCTCATCGGGTCTTGAGTGAAACGGCCTCGAGTTGAAAGAACACACAGACCCTTTCCCGGACATGCCTTCTGAGAGTCCTTAAGAGTAATCTGTTTGCGGGCGTTGGTAATTAGTTTGAAAGGCGTTCGCCTCGATTTTTCCTGTTTTGTTAATTGTAAGCTCTAAAATATTTCATTGTCTTCCATAAAAAAATTTGGGGAAATGAGGACATTACCTGTTAACTAAAGCTTAGTTTATGTGAATGAGGTGGCTGCGAGTTGAGGTGCCCTTGCGCTTCGGTCACGGTGCGCTCTAGTCAAATGTCTACATTTGCATTCATATCCTACCACAGGTTTCCCGCCATTCTGTGCGTCGACGGCGCAC